GTTCCGCTCTTCCAAGACCAGCGCAAGACGGTTCGACTCATATTTCTTGCAACCACTGCCACTCTCCCATTTGGCTTTACTGTGAATCTTTCTTCAAGCACCTCATCTGATACCATGAAGCAGAATAATACGTTGGGAAAGGGTAAAGTTCGATGCCAATATTCGGCAAAGATGTGCAGCGAGCTTCATTTGCCAGGTCGTTGGTTCCGCGTTATTGGACCAGAGATTCACCCGTGATCGCCAAACTTGGCATGCGTGATCTGCGATTGCATGGACCCTGCCGACCGAGCCTCATCAAACCTACCGAGGGTACTACAACGACGATAAGAGGAGAGATTTGACCAGACCAACCAGTCTTCTTCCTATCTCGACAGAAGAGAAGAGCTGCAAACACAGCATTACAGTTTGAGAATGCGAAATACAGAAATTTGTCAACCGCCCACGTGATGGTCTTCATCAATAGTCATGTGTGAGGCATGCAGGTTCCATGAGATATCAAAGACGAAAGGTCAAGGTTTTCCACAGCGGCAGCCAGTCAACCTGGATGAGACACTGCGGAATGGAAATTTCCAATGTTTTGGTGAAGCCCCCTTGAGAGGGATACTTCAGCAGCGGAAACGCGAATGTCTCATTGTTAACCTCGTGTCCGTATCCCATCGAGTGCGGCATGGCGTCACTACATACAATCCACAATTTTCTCCAACTCGACTGGTAACATGATTTTTTAATTCGCGGGAATGAGCGAGAAACGACCGGATTAATATCCAATTAGCTACTAATACTCCGCACATGTTTGTAGTAACGCCATGCCGCACTCGATGGGATAGCTGCTGCAGCTGGCCATACTGTTAGAGCGCGAAACAGAGGCCCAAAGCCGATGCCTTGAAGAACTATCCGAACCTTGCGAAGAGGTCCGTACCCGGAATTGGTAACAAAACCCAATCAGGAGTTTGGCGAGCATTCCCACTTGGCTATCATTGGTAGGGGATTTAGATGGGTCTCGGCTAGTTGAGCTGACCCTTTGCATTCTTCACGACCTGAACCTTTCACCCCTTGCTTGGAAAATATGCTTCTGTCCAGGGATAATAGGGAACAGTCAGCGATGTGTGAAATGACGTGTGAACTCCTTCGTGTAGCTTGTAATTTTTCTTGGTCATTTCATCAAAACGTGCTCTTGACAGTCCTTTGTTTTCAGTTACTTTTCCCGCAGCGGTCACGATGCTGTCAGCGATCAACTATCACCGATGGCTACCTGTTCTCACATTATTGACGATATGGGTTGTTCTTATCTCTCAAGGCCAATTCACTTATTCTCCCTCTACCGCCGAGCCTGAGTTTACCTCTCAAGCAAATTCTACCACAGAATCAACAACAGAAACTCCAAGGATTGTTATAGTCTACTCATACACCGAAAGCGAAAAGTCCCGCGAGAATTTACGATACTTCGTGAAGTTTGGACTTCACCGTGCAGCTGACTTCATTTTCATCTTCAACGGGAGAACAGATGCCCTCAGAGAAGTACCGGAAAGAGAAAATGTCCAGATTGTGACGCGAGAGGGAACTTGCTCCGATCTTGGGGCTCACGGCGAAGTTCTTCGTGGCAACAATATCTGGAAACAGTATGACTACTTTATCCTTCTGAATGCTAGTGTACGGGGTCCGTTCATGCCCTACTGGAGCAGTAGCTGCTGGTCTGACACGCTGTTGTCAAAGATAACCCACAAAGCCAAGGTAAAATATTTGGCGTTCCCTTATCTTCCCTCGTTATTACTTCCTACGATGTGTGCTATTCAATCTTTGTTAGCAAAACAGTTCAATCGTCTGGACAAATAACCGTAAGAGAGACTGATCGTTTAGCAGCTTGTTGGAATCACTGCGAAATGCTGGCCACGATTTTATGTTCCATCAATGGTCTGGGCCACGGATCAAACTGGGATCAGCCTTTTACTTGATGCTTCCTTAGGAAGAAGTCACTCGATCTTCGGGGGACCTAGCGAGCTTGTTGGACTTAGCGGCTGCTACGATACGCTTCACAGTGCCGCTCATGCCGAGATGGGAGCTACGTCGATGATCACGGGCGCGGGATATACCGTTGACGTCTTGATGGCTTCTTTTCACAAAATCGGCGATGCTGGAAGTTATTGTGAATCAACACCTCCTGGGGTCCTGGATCCACTCCGAGAGGGAGATTATTTTGGGTTCAGCATTCATCCGTATGAGACCTTGTTCGCGAGAACCACGGCAGGTATGAGCTCCCTTCCAGTGGAGAACCTGTCATCTTGGATGAAAGACAGTGGATATTCAAGTTATTTGAGGTGCGGGGTGTAATAGGCTTACTCCGTATCGCTTCGGACTTACGTCTTTACAAAAACTCGGAATTCCAAACGTAACATTTTTGGTCGTGATATCGCTGCAGCCTTTTACAGTTTATGGATTATATCTTCATTTCCACGAATATGACGTTAAAGTTTACTAAGCCAACAATACTCACTTTCCCAATTTGGGGCACTGATGGAATCTGCATGGCGTATCAGATGCCCTCACTTCTTCTATGCCACTGCTTCTAATCTTCCTTTGATATGAAAGAGCTCAATTAGTAGCCTGTCCCTGTTTCGTTTCTTCAGATCTTCCCTTCGTGGAATTTCCGCGTCCGCTCTACATAACGATACGATAAGTTTCAGAAAACAGTTCACCAAAAATCAGAGATCTGTTGCAAGCTGTAGTCTACTCAAGGTCCCTCCCAAAATGGTATGTGATCAATTTGACCAATCAATGTTGTCCAACTCCTCCGAACGTTGTCGCATTTGATTCCCTGAATGGGGTCGCATTTGGTTGCCTGATTAGGAAATTTGAACCACAACTTATTTGTATGCCCAACCTCGACATTATGCTGATGCGCTTGGAATCTTTTCGTTCACAACTGCTATTCGGAATTCTCGCCAAAAATGACAGTTACCACGCTTTTTCCAGCCCTCTGCTACGTTCTGTCCTGGTGGATAGGTGCTGTCTATTCTGTCCCCTTTGAGGTAGAACAGAAGCACCTTCCCCACCAGGACCCATTACCGTCACCCTTGTGGCACCAGCCAAGAGTCACTAGACAAGACGACAGGCTCTGTGATGCAGGCTCGCGGCAATGGACAGGCTTTGTTCCCGTTAACCGTAACAGAGAAATGTTTTTCTGTGTGTTAATCAAGATTTCATTCAGATTGTCAATCTTGGATGGTTCTGACAATTCCTAGGGTACTTCGAAAGTCGTAATAATCCTCAAACTGCGCCTTTACTTATTTGGGTCAACGGGTGCGTCGATCGCTGCGATCAGATTCGTTTTTGTCTTTCTACATCCTCGGACTTTCTAACGGGAAGGTTGCTTTACCAGCGGCCCTGGTGGTTCGTCTCTTCTTGGTGCTTTTTACGAGCTTGGCCCATGCAAAATAAACGAGGCTGGCAATAGCACGACGAGAAATGCTTTCAGTTGGACAAATTTCGCCAACGTTGTCTTCATTGAGTGAGCGGGCCTTTGAAAACACCATGCCTTATTCTCACTGACCTACGAGTTTACTAGTCAACCTATCGGGGTAGGGTTCTCTTACACGAACGATTCGAATCTTTGGGCCCACGATTTGAACGAGGCCGAGAATGACTTCAATAAATTCCTGGACATATTCCTTGATGATGTCTTTCCCGAACTATCCAACAAGTCTATCCACTTCGCGGGTGAGTCATTTGGTGGACAGTACGTTCCTACGTATGTCAGCAGATTGAGAAGAAGACTGGATTCCATCATTCTAGTAAACGCCCTTGTCAGCTTTCCAAAGGTTGTTCTAGGTCTATATGAGCACTTTTGCGTGCCAACTTCGGTCCAAGGCGTCGAGCTTTCGGTATCTCGAAGAGGCTTCAACCACACCGAGTGTGCTAAGATGGCTGCCGGTTATCCCACGTGCGACCATTTCAGCCGACTCTGTGATATGGCATACGATGGTAAGACATGTGAAGCAGCTTACGGAGCGTGCAAACCTGTCGAGGATGTTGTCATGAATAAGGTTACCCCTGGTGGTCTCAACCCCTACGATGACCGAGTTGACTGCATTGAGCCTCCACTATGCGGTCGTCTCGGTACGTGCCCACTTACAGCCTAAGTCACAAATACTAACAGACATCAGGTATGGAGGAGATCACTAAATACCTGAACCAAGCACATGTACAAAAGCAAATAGGTGTTGAGAACCAGATTGACTTCAAGACGGTGAATATGGACATGAACGAGCAATGGTCTAAAGCCTCTGAGCTTTTTGTTCCCACAAGTCGCGAAGTAGCTGCAATCCTTGATAAGAAGCACACTCGGGTTCTAGTCATCAATGGAAACAATGACATCATTGTGTACGTCTGTAAATGCCTTTGGAGCGAAAAGGATTCACCTGCGGCTAATGCTTGCTTGTAGGAATACCGAGGGGGTCAAGCGCATTTTCGATGACCTTTTGTGGGAGGGACAAGCGCAATTCCGAGCTGAACCATGGGTCAGCCTTCATTTTCAAGAACCATTGGGCAACCGTATTCATGTGGGGATATCGAAGACCAGTGGAAACCTATCCATCGTTACTGTTGATGAGGCAGGGCATATCGTACCTCATGATCAGCCTGAAGCAGTCATGCTTGTTGTCAAAAACTGGGCTATGCATGGAAGCGTATGGCCGCAAGAGCATCGGTCTCCGTTTGAGACTGCTGTGATTTAACGACAAACCATTTTCTCCCAGAGGCAACATTGCAGTTTCGAAGTTACAGCATCGCGAAGTAAGGGCGACACCATAAACCTTTAGTTGTCAAAATCATATCACTCATTGTTGTTTCAATGTGTTTACAGCTTGAATAACTCATGTCTCTTACATTCATTTCTGGTTTCAAAACGCCTATCCCTATTTGTTGCTTTCCACACCAGTGTGTTTAAGCCTTTGTCATGGCCACTGAGAAATTAAAACCCGATGTATCAACCATGTCCCATGTGTTTAGAAACGCACGCGCATACGTTTCCCCGCCGGGGCTGCGGGAGTCGCGGGGGCTCCGGCAGGAGGGGGAGCCGGAGCGGCAGCTGGTGGAGCAGCTGGCTTCGGGGCGGCGGGTGGGGCAGCAGCTGGCTTTCCTCCGGCCGGTGGAGCGGGGGCTGCAGGGGCTGGAGCCGGGGCCGCGGCCGGCTTGCCACCAGCTGGGGCAGCAGGGACCGGAGCGGCAGCTGGAGGCGGCGCAGGCTTGCCGGCAGCTGGTGCGGCGGGGGGAGCAGCAGCGGGAGCGGCAGGAGCAGGGGCGGCGGGCTTCGGAGCTGCAGCCGGAGGAGCCGCGGCCGGGGGAGCAGGCTTGGGAGCAGCGGGGGGAGCCGCGGCGGCAGGCTTGGATCCAGCGGGTGCGGCCGGCGCAGCTGGAGCCGGAGCCGGCTTAGAGGCGGCAGGTGCTGCAGGAGCTGCAGCTGGAGGTGGTGCGGCAGCTGCTGGAGGGGGTGCGGCGGCACCAGCAGCGGGAGCGGCAGCGTTAGGAGTAGCAGCTCCCTTCTTCTTCAGAACGCCAGCAGCCGCACCCAGCACAGTGTTCAAGGGAGCCGCAAGGGGGTTGGCAGCAGCATTGCCAGCAGGGGCTGCCGCGTTGGCGGGTTGACCCTTGCCCTTCAGGACACCGGCGGCGGTTCCCAGGACTGTTCCGATAGGATCAGCGGCTTGCGAGCCTGCGGGTGCCGCGGCACCAGCTGGTTGGCCTCCCTTGCCCTTGAGAACACCAGCGGCAGTTCCAAGAACAGCACCAACTGGGTCGGCAGCTTGACTTCCCGCAGGGGCAGCAGCAGCACCAGCAGCCTGACCGTTGGTCTTGCCCGTCAATGTTCCAAGCACCGAGCCGATGGGATCAGCGGCCGGGGCTGCAGCTGGAGCTGCAGCCGGAGCCGCAGCAGGGGCGGCGGAGGCGGCAGGAACGGCCGCGGCCTGTCTAGCTCCAAGGGCTGGGCTCTTTGCTTTCTTGGCCGCCTTTGCCGGAGCAGCAGCAGCGGGTGTCTTACCCTTCGCCTTCGCTGGAGCGGCGGCGGTGGCAGTCTTGCCCTTGGCCTTCGCCCCAGTAAGACCTCCAAGGAGCGAACCGATAGGGTCCGCCGCAGCAGCATTGTTTCCCTTGCCCTTGGCAGCAGCAGCACCCGCACCTGCTCCTCCAGCAGCAGTACCGCCTGCACAGTTTCTAGGGTAAAGGTCAGCCTCTTGCACTGCTACGGCAGATAATAACTTGTCCAAACGCACCCGGTGATTGCCCCAGCTTGTGCTCTGGTACACTTTGCATTCTGGCCGCCCTATTCATAACGTTCAGTGATACGTCTTTGCTAGTCTTGAAGCAAGGAGCACTTACAGCGAGTAGGCAGTCCAAGTCGTCAAAGCATACAGCTCCCTGTTGGGCAGAGACGTAGCTCGCGCACAAGGCGGAGGCGAAAACAATAAATCCACGCATGATAGTCTTCTTTGAAACTAGGAAGGCAATAGAATTGAATGATGGGGATCCGGATCACGAACACGAACTAGTCGTATTGGGAGCCGTAGTGATTTATAGAGGTGAAGAGACTATGGCGAAACGGCCGGTACCTGCATACAGCTCAGCATCCAGCCAATGATGGGATGCAACTTGGTGAAAGCCGAGGCAGCCCTCGGTGTACATGTGGATGCAGCCGTTCTCAAATACCATAGATATGCCTTCCAAACGTCTCGAGATTTGTTTGACCGGAAAGAGCCCCGACTCCTCCAGAACATCCCCGTCTGTGCACTGCATCATGGTTCAGATCCTGCCGGCTGAGGATGAGGGCAGAGGCTCAGCTGCCAGGAAGCGGGACCTACTGCTGTTGCACTGACGTTTCTGCGGACGTCAGTCAGCACTGTCAAAAGAATGGTCAGTTCATCTGAAGTAATTGACAAATCCGAGTGTGTTTGCTTGCCACGGGAGGGCTTGAGCTTGCATCCGAATGCGCGCTCTTCAAGCCACGACGCTTAAGAAAATAAACTCGGGCCCTGCGTCGGCGTCTCACGTCACTGATAAAGTGTCAAAGCCTGTCACACCATCAGTAGCAATGACTGGATTTGTCAACCTGTCTACATCTCGATGTGCCAGTATTTCTGGATGGCTGCAATTGCCAATTGGTGTACTGCTGGATGCCTGAGACAGTCAAAGGCCTTATTCTGAATGGGCCTGCTCATCGAAGGTGCAGCCTGTTCATAAGCCTGGGAGGCGACATGCCGGCTGAGAAAACTTCCAGGTGCATCCTAGTTTGAACTTACCTTGAATGTCGGATTGCGCCCCATGTTCCTTCGAATCCTAGCATGCATGAAGAACTGTGGCAACGTCTGTAAACTGTGCAAACAAGCTTTGGTTGATTTCAGTATCTTCTGATTTTCTCTCTGAGTGCAACCTTTCGCCGTAAGAGCACTAATAGGATGCATCCGGCGAAAGAGCTGCGAAGTCGGTTGGTTGATGTTGAGCTTATTAGGCCACGTTGATACGGTAACCAACGCTGCATTTCGATATCTTTTTTTTTTTTTTTTTTTTTTACTGGCCTGGACCCTATTGTGTTGTTCGGTGTTAAGAAAAGTCGTACGATAGCATGAGCTGAGATTCCAGGACTCCAGGGCTGTCGTAGTTTGGTGAGGGTCGTGGCAACGCGTGTTGAGGACGGGTCTTTGTCACATCTGTGCTCCTTAACCCCATTTCACTTTCGGCCCGAACTTCTTCTTTTTTTCTTCCAAGGTTTACATACATTAGTTCAGTGTCTGATCTTGCTAAGTTTACATCGTCTACGTTTATATATCATCGTTTCGTTTCTTGCACTTGATAATTCTGGGTGGCATGCAGTATGATCAGATTTCTGAAATATCTCACACCTTACCCATTAACCATGAGCCAAGGTGTCCAGCTACTTACATAAAATCACTTATATCAAACTATTTCACCTCCCTACCTTCGGAATGGCATTCGTCCTCGAATACAGTTTTGTCAGCTTAGCAATTTCCCACAACAAATGAGGCAGACGAGCCCATACCCTACGAAGTAAGCAAAACATCAAACCGATCCGTCAATAATGTCAAAAGGCCTGTGTGTTATTAAATCTAGATACCTTGGAAATTTTGTTTCAGTTCTACTCCGGCCCTCGCAGGCTTCATGTCATTCTGGGTACGACTTGCTGAAAACCTCTCGGGTACCTCATCGTGTATCTTTGCAGACAACATAGTGGCTTTCTGAAGTGAGCATGTATGTTCCTCCACCTATAAAATTACTCAGCCGCTTACTGACGCGGACATCCGTGGAGATTTCTGCCGAACCAATACTTCCCGCTGGCGCGGCCACTTTGGCCGCAAGCGCCGCCCATCGCCGTGAAAGCCCCACTTTCCGCCGCCCAAATTCGCCGGTATCAACGATTCCGCCCCGCATCGTGCCGGCCAATTTGGTCCTGAACCTCACTTTGGCGCTCCATCATTTGTAATACCACAAGGAAGACTTCTCGTTGATATTTGGCACATTTGTCATCCGCCCTTTCGACGGGAAGGATAAAAGGCACACCTAGAACTCCCAACTGAGGGACCTACAGAACAGCACATCCCGCACCCATCAAACAAAGATCCAACCTTCTCTTCATCCTATCAAATAATCACCATCCTCGGCTACACGAAATCATTCAAGTCACAATGTCTATCGCTCTAGTTACCGGAGGCAACGCAGGCATTGGGGAAGCCGTCGTTCGTCTTCTGTCCAAGACTCCCAATTTCCATGTCATCATTGGATCCCGCAATCCCGACTCCGGTATCGAGCTTGCCAACTCGCTCAAGAAGCAGGGTCATTCCGTTTCCTCTGTCCAACTAGACATTACTTCTGATGAGTCGATCAACAATGCCATTGACCACATCACCAGTGTTCATGGCAAGCTCGATGTCCTTGTCAACAACGCAGGGGTCGCTCTTGACACTAAGCCGGACGCCTTTGTGTCCACTCGAGACCTATTCTCCAAGACATTCAACACGAACGTCTTTGGCACTGCAGCCCTGACAGAAGCCGCTCTTCCGCTTCTTCAAAAGGGCAACCATCCCCGTGTCATCTTTCTTTCGTCTACGATGGGCTCCCTTGAGGTTTCGGGAAACCCGGACACCTTTTTCTACAACAACGACTACAAGGCATACGACGCCAGTAAAGCGGCGGTCAACATGCTTGCGGTCAATTATGCTCGCATCTTGAAGCCCTTTGGCGGAGTTTCTAACGCCGTCTGCCCGGGTCTGGTCAAAACGAAGATGAACGGGTTCATGGAGGCTGGTGAACCTGTGGAGGTTGGAGCCGAGCGCGTCATCCAGCTTGCAACTGCTGCCCCGGGTGGTCCTTCTGGAACCTTTTCGAACAGAGAGGGTGCAATTCCCTGGTAACCATCGGTGGATTGATGGTCGGAAATTTGTTTGTTTGTATTTTTAGGCAATCTGCAATGGTTTAGTCGGCACTGGTTGTTTGAAATAGATGTAGGGAATTCACTAGTACTGCAGGTCAAGAGCTGCCTTATCCTCAAAAAGTGCCTGTGTTTTGGAAATTTGCCATTGTTTCATGAACATGTAGTTGTACGTGCGACTTGCAACACCACCCAATGTCGGTTCCCAGAAGAGCGCAAAAGATGATTCATGTGATAGATTCATGCACGTTTCGGAGGCACGCGACAGAGTTCGTGGCACCGCCGGCAGTGCCGTCTCATAAAAAAAGGTAAAGGCAGCCTACGAGAGACACACACTCGTGTATATTAATCTGGGACTGTTGACCATGGACTTTGACGAATTAAATCATGTTCACAGCAACGTTCAGTAGAACACCCAGATTGTCTACCCCGGCATTCCAGACATCCAGCCTGTCAATCACTGCCTGGTGATTTGCCCCTTTATTCAGCTCGTAAAGGTCTCCAAACGTCACAGGCCTCTTGTCTAGATTTCGCATGCTACTAAGTGCCTCCGTTTCTTCCTTCCATTCGTCAGACGTATTCGCAGTCCACTGCGACTGATGGCACGGAAGTCTTAGATTATGCCAAGCATCTAGGATACCGCATGGCATACCCATTCTCACCGAGCTGATTTGAGCGACAAGAAACCAAACGCATGCAATTCTGGAACAGGGTTAACGACCGTCAATCGCAAAAAAGACTGAAATGTACCTTGTAAGAGATTCTTCAAGAATCCAATCATCCCACTCAGTCGTTTTGCTGACAGCAGCATCGCAAGAAGTCATATCGAGGGCAATCAGCTGACTCCAGAAACCCTCGGTACAAAGTCAGTGCGCAGTTCCTTTGTCATGATAGTCGCAGCAAACCTTGTATGCCAGCAGCATGTTCGTGTTGTACTCTCGACCCTGAACTTCTCCTCCGCAGCAGCCATCCACGACTCGCATCATGATGTAAATCAATTGCGATTGCATGGCCGCAAAGACGTCATACTTAGACCAACCGGTCATCTGCAAATTCGAATTATTATCTGGAGCTATGCTTGGTATTGCGAGGCTTGTTTTACCTCTCGAAGGCACCTTTCTTGCTCATCCCGAATCGTTTTCCATAAGAAGGCCTGAGTGTCTTTATTCCTTGCGGCATACAAAACAGCTATTCCCATGCAGTTCGATAGTGGTACAGGCAGCTTGCTTTTGTCTTGATGAGGATGGATGAAAGGCGGAAACGTCGAGCGCCGGAGCATCATTTGAGGATATGCAGCCAGGGATTGTCTAATGACACTTGCGCTAGCTTGAACGGCAGCGCTGTGAGGTCGGATGCTGCTGAGAGGAAACGATATCCGAGAAATGGAAGAAATGGTGCAGTCATTGACCATGCCGGATATGGCGATCTCGTGCAGTCTACCCGAAAGAATCATATCCGTGTCGCCATCGATTTCGTTGGGGAGGCAGACCGCAAGGTTTTCGGGCGTGAGGCGGTTGAGGTCAACTCCACCAAGGTTATATGAACTGATCCAGTCTTGCGCCTCACCAGCAGGCAAACACAGTGTACCGGTGTCCTGGGTACCACCGTATAGATTGAGCTCTCCGATACTATCAGACGCTGGCGGTATGGGTATGGAAGCTGCCGCTGGTTCGTTTTGTCTTTGGTAAGTAACAGCGTCGGAATAACTACAGACAAGCCCCTTTTTAACACAGCGACTGCATCTTTCCTCGAGATTGCACTTGCTTTTCGCTGCTCGGCATTCTATACAAGGCTTAGGTCTGATGCGAGGCCTATTTCTTGTTCGTCGACAGTACGCGACATGTCTTTTCAATGCAGTCTCTGTGACATGAGT